TCACAGTTTTGTTCGCCAATTACTGTAAGGAGCAAAGAAAAGTGAGGTGCTCTTTTTTGGATGAACACGGCCATGGTGAGTGTGTGAGCAGAATTCACAGCTGCAGGGTACTGGAGGAGGAAGGAGGCGTATAAATGGCTGGCGAACTCAGAGGCACAAAGGGCACAGCTTCACTCTGCGAAACAAGTGAAACCTTGGCTGGAAAGAAAACAAGTGGTGTTGAAGAGAGAGCTAGTTCAAACCTGAGCCGAACATCTAGATAGGAAGGGACGGATCACACATAAGAAAAGAAAAAAGTTACATGCGCTGTGTCAGGGGAACCCAATTATACTTTGTGTCCAGCTGGTGCAGAGCTTAAAGGAGAGGCTCTAGGAGTCTGAGCATTCGACTGTATAACTTTCTCAGCAACTCCCAAATAAAAACAGGGCCTTCCTACTTAACAAAAATAATTCTGACAACTGTGCTACTAAAATGACATCAACTGATTTGTCTTTTTGTGCACATTTATTTCCTAAAAAATCAACTTGTGTGTGCTTTGTGATCATCACATGGACGGAGAGACGATCGGAACATCTGGCGTGCTATCAAGACAGCATCGGTTAAAGCAAATGAAGCGGCGAGGAGCAAATAAAACCCAGCAAAGCAAAACAGTTTGTCTTGTGTTCTTTCCACGTGTGACTAAAGTTTGTGCAAACTGTCAGATCCCATCTTTCAATATAGCGGTGTTCAAACTCTGCAGTGTCACTCACTCAAGAGCGAGTGAGAGCCGACAGCAATCTCCGGAGGGGTGAGATTTCTCAACAGCATGGATAAGGTCGGGCACCTTTAATTCCTCAGCTGAAAAAATAAAGAGATCTTCTTTTGTTATTTTTCATGTGCATGTATTTAGTATTGGAAGCTTTTTTTCTGAATGAAGGCGAATTCGTTAAATAATCAATCTCTGGCTTTTCATCTCAGGTGGTGGTTTTCCAAGGTGGTTTCCTTCTCATTCTTCCCTCCAACTCAGCCACCTAGATGTGATATTCACGCCTTTGAGTCACACTGTGTGGTGAGAGATTCAGCCAATAACTGCAGCCACCTGCAGTGAAGATGAATATGTAAATTTTAAAAGTAGGTCAGAGATCAAATTTCATCAGGTAAGAAAAAAAATCACTGAAATTTCCTATTGCCAAGTGGGGCTTTTGAGCCAATCTGAGTCGAGCGTGACCTTCTGCGCGACTGCCATCATTCAGGTCCGGCTGATGAAAGTATCCAGGCACTATTCATTCATCAGCCGACGTGTGAAAACAAGAGGCACAAGGCCAATCATTTAATTAATACTGTGTGATTAAGGTGGTCTTTTGAGCCTGAGAGGCATTCAGGCAGAGGTTAAATGTACTGGACTTAACACTTAGAAATAGCTGCACAGTGACAATGCCTCCTCATATCATAGAAAGCCAAATGGCAGGCTTAGTGTTATGGAAGGCCTTGTGTTATTAAAACTCCAAACATGCTACAGCTTAATTTTGTTTTCATTACTCTGGTTTGCTTATTTTAATTAGTGCCCTTAATCTGCAATTAGCCAGAGGTCAACTATACTCTCAGTTTATAAAAGAATTGTTTTGAAAGCAGAGAGAAATTGTTTGGACATGTACTTAATTAGACTGTTAACCCATGAAATGTCAGTGTCACTCACTCCTATGCCACCTCATTAGAATGATAGAAGAGAAATAATGCAGACATGACTGATTGGTGTTTGTGATTTAATTTAATAGAACTGCTATTACAGAGAAGGATACTCAACGGACCAAGACAAAGCACAAGACGATGGCCTCTTAAATAATTGAACAAGAAACCTCATTGAATTCTGTTAGAATAGAAAGGTAGTGTAATTATTTGATATCATAAAAAGGTTAAACAAAAATATGCAACAATTCTTCTTTAATATGTTGAAAAATTACTAGACTTATGTTATATATGTAGTTGACTTGTGCACGTGTAACCTGTGCAACCTTAATACAACTTTTATACATTACCTTATGTGCACCTGAGACATATCCAGTAGATTTTCATTATTTTAATTTTTCAATCTCAACAAACTAGCACTTCTGTTATTGTTTGGATTGATCGAATGTTATTGAACATTTTAAAGTATCCATGGGAAATCTCTTGTAAAACTCACCACTGTATAATTTGCAAGCAAGCATTGTTGAGATGGTGATTTTATAAACCAAGTTCAACAGCTGCACGAGCATGTGTCCACACTTTTTACCATCTTTGAAAAATTACATTTCTTTCTTCTTACCATGCATGTATCCTTACTTGTTTGAGTTTCAATGTCAGCTAAAGTCTTTATCTTAATTCCGAATTTGGCACAACGAAAACTCATCAATACTCCCCACGCTCTGAGGCGTCTGGTGGAGAAGGCCTGATGTGTGACAGTAGGGCATGAATGATGCAGTAGATTGGGATGTGGTGCAAATGCTTCTTTTTTCCTTCGCCGGGCAAGTGCCAGGGTGGTGAGGAGGCAGTGAAGAGTGGCCACCAGCTGGCTCCAGCTCTGCCTGCTGTGGCCATATCACCCGCTCCAGTGGACGACTGTAATTCATTTATTCAGCCCCCTTATCTTTGTAAATGAGCATGTGTCACCAGTCACCATGGTGGGGAGTGAGAGGGCAACTTTCATGAAACAGATACATATATGGTTTTAGAGCTGATACACTTGTTAATTCATTGGATTCAGTCAACAGAAAACGCTGCTTTGACTTTGAAACAGGTACAGAAAATGTTGTGACATTCCACAGTTTACATTGAAACTATGGTGAAAGATCCTTTTTACTGTCTGTTTTGCAATGAATCATCATCACAAGCACGTGGGGACAACAGGCGAGACCTTGACTGTCTAGAAGAGCAGTGCAGCTCACACAGGCCCGGACGTTACACTGAATATTTAAAGCTAAATTTAATGAGGTACTGAATCTTTTTAGGCAACCACAATGCTGCTATTTGAAGGTGTTGAAAACAAAAGATTACTTGAAGTTTGTAACATATGTTGTTTATCTAAGTCCCATGGTTCCACAGCGCTTTGAATACAAAACAGATGCAATAAAATACAGGACCTTTCATATGCGAGGTGCTAGTGAGGCCAGAGAAGTCCGACTCTGTGGAGTTTACTCAAACAGGACGTCAACAACTAAAGAAAGAGAGATCAAAGTTTAATGCTTTTGCAGGCTGCCCCATCACCTTGGGTAAACTAATTACTGGAGGCATGTGAGTCACACATCTGCTGCAAGAGAGGTTTCCCGTCCACCGGAGCTCCTTATCAACACGGTCTGAATAAACCATGTAAAAACACACTTATAAAAAAAATGCATGCTACTTTAAGGATGCAAATATTTCTCCCAACTCCAAGGTGAATCGTATTGAAACACATTAATTATTCAGAAAATGTGGCATTGATCATGCAGGATGCTGTTCCTGGAAAAAAACATTTTAGAGCTTTTTGCATAAACATCGAGAAGTTTCAATTTAAAATATACTCTTGGCATCCTCCTGCTTCTTTTGATAATAGTGTCCAACACATTGTTTATGTTTTCTGTATTCTAATCCGTAGCCTTTCCAAGAAAGGCTTGTGATATGCAGCAATTAGGCAAAGCAGAACCTCAGTTTTTCAGTCCAGAAGTCAATGTTTAAAGTCTCTACAGTTTCTCCCTTTGTATTAGAGATATTTTCATAGATCTGTAGATAGTAATAAGTCCATGCACCGACTAGAGGATTATGTAAAATATCGTGATAAACCGTTTTCTGAAACCAATTTAAAAATCACAAATCATACATATGGATGATTCTCTTCATATATGACCCAGATCCAAAATAAAGTATAAGTTACTCTGGCTGCTTCAGTTAAGTGTGGGCAGCAGGCAAATATCACCTCAGCACTTGACCAACTACGGCGTTCTCCCACTCGCTCCACAACGCTCCAGTGCTCTAGCTGCGGCAGTGACTTTGCCTGACAGCAGAGGAAAGACCTCCCAATCAATTAATTCAAACTAAACCCACGTAGTTCTGCTGTCTGGCTTTAAAATGTGGCCAACTGCCTGTGACACACCTTATCAATAATTGTGGGAATGTCCTTTTGTGTAAGAAACTGGCAATTGTCAAAGCACTTTTCATCCTTGGACCTGTGTCTCAGCAGAGCTATAAATAACTGGCCTCTAAAACTTCACTCAGGCCTGGCTCATTAGAGGCAGACATTACATAGAAATAATGGCCACAAGACTCGGGTATTATAATGAAGCCAGAATGAAAGCTGCCTTAACACAGAGAGGTAGAAGTAAGCACACACATTATCGGACACAAAGTTATTTCAAAAGAAGAACTAAATAGTCAAGACTGTGTATGAAATAAAATATTCCATTTCTTAAAAGTTGAATTGGAAAACTTACATGATTAGCTTTCAGGATATGACTCAGTAACTGGGCCAGAAGGAGCCCCCCCCTCGTCTCTGTAGCCGACTGCCTGATGAGCTTTGCCAAAAGTGAGATTTAGCACAGGGCATCTATACACATCTTCCATGAATAGTGAAGTAAAGGAGTGCTTTTTAAAAAGAGAGGGAACAGCAATCACTGTCTAACGCCTGTTCCTGCTCATATGAGTGGTGATTTCCATGTGACCACGCCAGCTAAAGCCCAGTATCGCTCATTAATGCCCTGGCTCCTCATTACTGTCTCCTCACACTTTTGAAAGACTCATTACCTGCATAATGGAATAGTGCTTGGAACAGTCAGACCTTTCCTTTTTGTGAATTAATCACCTATACGCGCAGACAAAAAGGGAATTCTCACATTAAATATTAAGAAACTTCCACTTTTTCAAACTTCTAAAAGGTACACTTTCTTGAAGAGCAAAGCCGAGGACACGGCAGTGGTATCATAGAAGGCTGCCCTTATGTCTTTCATGTGTCAGCAAGGCCACTGTGGGGAAAAAAAGAAACGCAAGGAAGAAGAAAGAGATATACTTACAGTTGACTGTGACTTTTACTGTTTTGGTGTCAGGAGAGGCGATGTCATTTAAAGCGCTGCATTCGTAGTCTCCAGCCTGGTCCCTTGTGATGCTAGTGATGTTAAGATATTCACCACTGTCATACTTCTTGGCTGGAAATAGAAAAATGGAGACAGAGTACTTACACCGTGTCTACAAAGAATACAAACACAGCACACATACACATTAAATATATATATATACTATTATTTTATTTTTTTCCCTGAGTGGAAAGCCTTCACTTGTTGTAAATAGCTTTCAAGTTTAAGTCTGATTAGAATATACAATGCGATTAGGTATTAAGCTGAGCCCCTGATTACCCTCCATGCATTCTAAAACAACAGTGGATTAGCACTGCTTCCATCCACTCAGACTGATATGATGGCAGTAAATACAATGGTGGTGGATTTCCAGTCATCCGCTCATCATTTGCTCAACTCCACACCGCGCTCTTAGAGCTACTTCCTGGAAGACAGACACATTTGAGGGCTCAATGAACATGTCAGTGCTTTACAGTTAGCTAGTGGTGCCAAAACACAGGAGCAGAACAGAACCATGACTGGCATATTGGCAGGGGCGTAGAACCAGCTAAAAAGTTGGAGGGAGCACAAACCCACACAAACATGTCCACTCAAATGGAGAAAAACATTTAAAACACACAGTTAGTGGTAACAGATGAGCATTCTAGCTCAATGTGTTTATTCTAGGAACTGAATAAAATAAATGGGAAGAACTAATGGTGAATTATAATATCAAGTTCAGCATAATTCAGCCAGAATAATCAGGAATATGTCTATACGAAGGTCAACTGATAGCAAATTAAATATATCGTTTTATATCTGATTAATGTAAATGTGCTGGTTCCAGGTTGTGTCAGCAAGTGTCGAAAACGTCCGTAGAAAAGAAATGACACAGTTTTAATTCAGTCATTTATTAAATACTCCCTGGTCCAATCATCTCAGTAATGAACTGAATTGGCTCTATCTTAAGAGTGCTTGATCTAATGCGAATGGTGCAAGTGCATTTGGGGCAAGTCCAAATCCGCTTTAGTTAGTTTAACTGTAGAAAGATGTTAACCTTGAGGGATGCTATGATAATTGATTTGCCAGGAAATTTGCAAGAACGCTTGGTTGCAGAAGAAATGTTTCACTTTGCACACAAACCATCTGTCTGTGTGTAACGAGCACTGAACAACACCTATGTGGATAATATTACTATCTTGATAATGTCCCCTTGATAAAACACTGACTCTGTACCACAGTTGTGTTGGTCTTAAGAACAAATGGTTTCCACTGCCTCCTCATAGCAACACAGCAGCAATGCATCTGACAACACATTATTTTAAGACCCACACTGCCACGAGCGTTTAGGTGACCATTTGTGTTTTCGTCATTTAACAGCGTAGATGCTAGATGGGAAAATAACAACTGCGTCACCTGGCCCCGCTTTGCATCAGGTGTCATATTATGTATGAATTATGACTGTTGATAATAATAACACCATTTTGGGATACGCAAATTTAATAACAAGCATTTTTTCATGTAGGTTAAATGTAACATGATTAATCAATATTGAAAAATAATCAGTTAAAACATCTTTTCACATATTTATACTGAATGAAGCCCTAAGTGGCATTTGGTTATGTGCCTGAGTAAAGTAATGACTATACTAGGCATCTGTATTTATCATTGATGTGTTGATACAAATGGTTATAGGACCTCAGCAGGCAGAAGAGTGTACGTAAATAATTGCAAATTCTCCCCCTGCCAGACTCGAATTATTTCCAACCCAGCGGTGCTCAGCAGGGAATCTATTTATATACAACTTTTCAGGGTGGTAATGGTGGTTTGGGATAGAAGATATGTGGATAGATTTTGAACGCATGGGGAACAAACAAATTGAACAATCGAGCAAAGCTGAACTCAACATACTGTTCAGAAAACCATAGAGATCCAACACTGACAAAGCAATATATCACATCAGAGGAGCCCGAATAAAAACAACCCATGCTTCAGGAGTGGAAATGCTGCCACTCTGTGCTGCCAGTCTCCCCTGAAAGTGAGCTGAATTCTTATATAATGTCATTTTCTCATTCTGCCACACTGGCACCTTTTTATCTGCTAACTACGATGTCATAAAACTTGACACTCAAGGCTCTGTCGATAATGAGCTTTCCTGTCTCTTCCCACTCTGTTGTGGTGGCAACAATGGAGTCCAAGAGTCTTGGCAAATATGGCTTCACAAACAACAGCATAGAAAAAGAACATGTTTGAAAAAAAGACAAATCCATAAACAAGCACTGGATGTGTCTCAAAAACAAACCATTTAATAGGGCAAGAGTGCAGAGATGGAGACATAAGACCAAGGGCTCTAGTTCTGTGATGGTGCATGGTGGAAAAGCAGTTTTATTTAGTGCACAGTTTATTTTTAAACTTGATACCACTGGTGTTAAAGAGGATGTGAAGTACAGAGTATATCAGTCTAGTGATCACATGGTGCAGCACAAGTTAGATGCCAAAACTAAGCTATATTAGCATGAGTACATTTTAATTTAACCTAAACAGTGTGGTTGGTAAATTGGTCTTGATGTTACTTCAACCTGAGAAGTGTAAGTTATGACAGATGCAGAGAGATCTGTTTTTCGGAAATCTCAGCAAAGCTTCCTAACCAGTATCTCTACTTCTTTTAAAAGACATCACATCTTCCTTAGAAATGCAAAAAGGAGTCTTTTGAAGGAGGCAGAGAATTATGACATTCACCAATGTTTTCATATCTGGGATTTGTTCTAAAATAGAATCTATGAACACTGAAGACTGGTCTAACACAACTGAAAATGTTTCAGTTCTAAAGTTGTATAACAAGATTTAAATTACTATAATATTTTACAATTTTTTCGTAATGTTTACATATTAAATGTTTTGCATGTTCCATTGTTTTACTGATACAGCTTTTAGTTAAAATGTTACGTTCAAGTGTAACCTATTCATTCTGAAAACCAAGCTTATATCTATTCCGAGACGAGCGATGGTTCAGGAGATACAACCACACCACAGCAGGACCTGAACCGGAATATTATTGAAAACATTTTTTGTGAACCTAGCCCAGGATGTCCGGCTCCCGATGGGTCCTGTCAGGCTCAGGTCGAGTATCCACAGATGCTCAGCTGAGGATTAACCTGCAGTGCTGGTTTCCAATGATGCGCTGCTCCAGCTCAGATAACTGTGCACCTGCCTTTTCTTTTTCTCTCTTCTGTGTTTGACGATATTTATTTTGAATTTAAATCTTTACAGGTTTACATCAATTATGCAACTTTCTCCAGATACAGCTTTCAATGAATGGGTTACTGTCTTCCATCTATTGTTTTTTGTGGTATTTCATATCCACTGCTGAGAAAAAAAATATAAGAGAGAGTCTAGTGCAGAGCCATCTTTAGATTTTCATACAATCAATTCTGGCTTCTTAAATGCTATTTTCAGTTTCTGTGATTTCTGTGTGTGCTCTGCAGTCTCATGCCCTTACATCACATTGGGCGTTTCCCTATGCTAATTAGGAAAAACTAACAGGCGCTTTCAACTAACGAACACATGACATTCATAAATATAAGAACACAGATGCCAACAAATGTGCAGTTTAAGACTGCATCATGAATCTGACCTAGAGTTAATTTCTGAAGAACAAATTTGAGGATATTCTTAAGAAGATATTGGTGAATGAGACCCATTGTCATTTCTTCTTGAGGGAAGCAAAAGAAGTAATGTGGAACCAAATGTGTTTGAAATGAACAGATGGTGTTTTAGTCCAGTTAAAGTTGCCATATCTTGGACAAGTTTCAGATTCATAATTTCGACTTGGAGCTGTACTATAAACGTTCAATATGCTGTAATGTAGAAAATATGAATTATTTGTATCATATCCTACATTGCTGAATTGCTGCTTTTGACGTTCAAGTCTGAAGGATATTTCACAGTGATAAGTTTTTATTTTGTTTGTTTGTATTTCACATGTTGTGATTGTGTAATATCCCTACATCAGGGTAAAACTGGAAGTTTATATATGTGCCTTGGTGACATAGATGCTTTACAAAAAAGAAAGCCCAGAATGCTGGAGCAGTTTATTTTGTGGGAGATATAGATTCTCTTCGTCGCAGACTTTTTTTAATTAGTAGAATATTTTGTGCACATAAAAGCTACATGACAAACACCCGAAAAACATAATATTGACACTTTTAAATGAAGTAGTTATATTAACCGGATTTCAGCATCAGGTGCTGCTATTAAAAATCCTTGTGAGTGTTACACAGAGAAGCAGTGATTTGCTCGGAACAGTAAGGTATTGATAATGACTAAATAAGTGATGTTTTGTCAAACTGTACCCAGTATTATTTAATAGGTTTTAAATGATGAATTATTTGGTCATGAGAGATGAAGCCATGCTGCATCTGATAGCTACAAAATTCTAACTTCACATATGTACCTGCTCAATTTACCAGATTGTGTTTCTTATCGCATCACTGCTTCACAGAAAAGAACAGGATGTTACCAATGTGTCCATCGTTTCCATTGTACATGACAGAGCAGATATATTGATTTTAATGAATGTACAACACAGCGTTTACAGAGTTTTAAACCATTAGTGGTTGCACTACTGAGCAGAGTGTCTGGCTTGTTTACGGCAGACACTGATCAATGCTAGAAATCACAGCACATACACATCAAGGCTACAGTATGTCTGCTCATTTTGCCTTTTGATGTCTGTTCTAGAAAAGTGCTTTACAAACACATTTTATTCATTTATAGATTTTTTGAGGAAGAAAATCCTGCAGACCATCACAGAACTCGCCTTGGTGCCCTTTGTTGACATGGTTGACCTTTGCACTGCCCTTAATGCACAGCTCCATTGTTTTTTATTGTAATGGGGAATAATGATACCCAGTACACGGATATCCACTGCGTGCACTTATGTCTTTTACTAAGGCAAGGAAATCAAAAGCAGTGACCCATGTGGCCAAGTATGCTTGATGATTCCAATTCCATTCACCAAATGGAAGGATCAAATGCTGTAGTTTCCACAGAGAGGCACTGTGACTTTTTCACCTCTTGGGAAACGACCAGTC